ATGAGGTGTACCTAGGTGGTCCCCAGTGGTGTCGGAAGAGGTGCTGTCCTCTACACTTCCACTTCCACTCCCACTGGTCCCCACTGACTGATCATTATCTGGGTTAAACATTTTCTGTGATTCCTGGTGTGCCACGTCTCTTCTAAACTACCCTTTAGTACACCCTCGACCCGGACTCACTACAACCGTGATCTTACACAAATAAAAAAAAATCACAACTCTTTTCCAAGAAACAACTACTAAATCCCCAAAGTAGGAAATACACCGATTTATCGAGAGAATCGCTGAAGTGAATCCAATGAATGAGTGTCTGCCCCGCACTCGTGTCTGACCGTGAAATATCCCGCAGTTCTATTGCTGAAACCTAAGTCCTTTACGTTAAAAAATTAAAGAATCTAATTTATATAAAACAATTTAAATGATAACGCAACTAACGCACAGCACTCGTGATGGATTAATAAAGAATATTTACTGTACTTGAATACTAAACGCGCTTGAAGTGAGGAGCGTGGCCACTGATGACTGATGGAGCGGGACCAGCTGCGCTGAAAAAACTAAGTCTTGCGCTTTTTCGCTTAAACGCTGAAAAATCAAAATTTTTGTTCCGAAGAAAAATAACTAGTTTTACGTTAATAAACCGCTCTAGCGATTAATATAGACGCCCAGGACCTATAAATGCTTACTAAAAATTGAATTTTTATCAAAAACTGCGTTTTTACTCAATTGCTGGACTCTGCCAATTTTTCTGACTCCGAGGGAAAAATATTCTATCACCCCAAATATCACAAAACTCCTTTACTTCACAAAAATTTGGGTTTCTCGTTTCCAGATATAAATAAGTTATTATTTAATACTGACGTTGTATACAGAACAATACTGACACATCGGGCGGTTTCAACACTCATTAATTCGAATTTTCGTCAAAATCCGAGATTTTCACTTCAAATGGACTCTGACAAAATTACGACACGATTTTCTCGAAAAATAACTAAATTCGGCAAAAATGTTATTATCACTGTTTAATGCCTACGGACAGAATTACGTCCCTTGCGCGCACTAGAGAGTAATACTGACCCCAGAATATACACAAAACATGAAAATTAGAATTTCCGCCAAAAAGTCAGATTCTAGCCCAAGCTGGACTTAGAAAATTTTCCACCTACGTTTCTACTGAAAACAGAATTCTAAGTCTACAAACACAATTCTACCGTCTTACTGGTAAAAACTAGAAAATAACACTCGCATCGACTGGGGAATCCTAATGACGCCCAGATCATACACGTGACCCACGAATACAAATTAATTACAGTTAACGACTTTCTGACATTGACTTAGCCGAAAACTTATCCCAAAATACTTAGAAATATTCCACGGACTCTATTAAACATTTACACGCAACTTACTATTCCTTAAACTCCTTCACTTATCTATCGTGACCGACCAATAGCCCTAAGTCCAGAGGATTAACTACACTCTAGCAACAACGCCTCTGACTTAGACTAATACAACAGGGAATAACAAAACTTAACGTACGCACTTAGCTTAATATGCAAGAAAACGCTAAACACTTGGGAAAATTTTTAACTGGGGATTGAATTTAGGGGAAAAAATTAATCTAGAACAACGCAAATAAACGGAAATTACTTTATAAATTTAAGTATACTTAATTCAAAAATGCACTCGACTTAATCTTATAATTGTTCCTACCGGCTCGCCGTACCACACCTAGCCTAGGGGCCACACCCTCTAGGTTCTAACAGAGCGACACGCAGCTTTCAGCAACAATTATGACTAGGGACGACTCAACCTCCACTAAGTGTGCGATCACTTAGTTGTTGAATCGCTGCTAGGTAGGTTACTAGTCCGTCCCTCGGAGGCCGCAACGCCCTTCACGGATTACGTTTTTCCTAGCGTTTTGGGTCGTCTAATAACGCCCTCGGACTATCTACTGGCGTCCCACAGATATATCCGCCCCCGACAGCCCTCAAGGAACTGCTGTTGAGAGTATGGCGGCTCCCAACACCTCTAAATTAATTGCAATGGGTCGAGTATGGTACCCAGTCCAATCAACTCGGAGCGGTCTCCTTTTCAATAAATCTATTTTAACAGCCTAATCTTACTAACTAAACCTTAATCATATCAGCCCGCATGACCCAAGATTCGCCAATCCCCACTCAAACGCACTGTTGTGGGGCGCACTGCTAATCCTGGCCCGCGGCTGTCTCCTTAGCATCCGCGCACGTGTTCGAACGGCTAGACGCGTGAGCCTTTCAACAATTTCAAACAAAATTGTTGAAACCACCGCTGTGCACCATTGTAACACGGGTTCGGGTTTCTCTCTCTCTACTTCTCTTCTTTCTTTACCCTCTACCCGTATTCTTACTTTTTTATTCTCTACCAAGGGACTCCAAAACTTTTACCAAAGCCAACTCCACGCCACGTGGTCCTAAGACGATTGACCGACTTAGGATTCTACACCCAGTATGACGTGACCTAGGCTTTGAACAAAACCCTAGAGTCGCCTCTACGCTGCCACCACCAGACCAGTAACACCGAGCAATGATCGAGGTCTGGATCGATCACGCTAATTAATCAACCTTGGGGCTTGATCCCCACTATAACCGATGACCGTGGGACTTAAGAGTGTGAAATTAATTACAAGGGAATGATTCGATGTTAGAATCGTCGCCCAATCCAACTCTTCCTCGTGAGGACCACGTGACCAGGACAAGTATACACATAAAATACATGGAAATAATAAAATGCAAAATACTAACAAACTTAATTTATTAAAAGAAAAACTAAAACAAAATCTAAATATGTTCACTCCCTGTCACTTTAACACTCCCTACTTGACCTGAATGGCAAATGAGACTATTTCTATACATAACCATAGCAACTATACCTCTATGTTTTACCAGCTAAAGATGTTGGGCTGGTCTCGGGGAGAGGTAAGATGTTTGACCTCTCCCAGCTGCTCCCGTATTCACACTGATCTGTCCTCGTCTGATCTAGCCCAGACTAGAACATTGTATCCTTCCGCCTAGTCAAAGTTTCACCAAGTTACTAGCCAGGTTTAAGTTATAACAATTAACCTCTGTTGTACTTAATTGATCCAGACTGGTTGAATTATTTTACTGAAATTAAATTACACAAACATCTAACGGCAGAGCTGTTCCCGATCCCCAAAATGGTTAATTGAACTTTGAGAAATAGTAGACCTGTCAACCCTGATGACCTATGACCGCCGGTCACTCCGCCTTACAAGTTAGATCTGATTCGTGACGTCACTGATGGTGACTTAATAATTAGAATACTCTTGATATTGTATCCAGTACTATTATACAATACAATTTTAATGCAAAATGAATAAAGGCTAATTTTCTCTAAATTACTGAATACTATAGGATGGTTCATTATACGCAGCTATGAACAAAGCGTCGGTTATTTCCACCGCGAATTCCCCTGGGGGTCAGGTTCCCAGGTCACCATGCGGGCTCAGCTTCCCATTCTCTTTTGTCGATAAACCACTCTGGATAATTCTTACAACAGTCTAGTTTGTTACAAGAAAATGGGATATTACCACATACTATTATAAATTCACCACCTATTATGGTGGGAATTATTCTTAAATACATTAGTCTTTGGACTTTACCATCATAAAAACATCTCATATAAATAAACTTAATTATCAGAATTAAAATAGAGTAAATGTGACCCTTCTGTCACTTACTGTCATCTGGACAATGTAGGCCAGTAGCGTGAGTGAGGAGGGAGTGGTCAGCCATTGTTATTGTTGTTAAGACCACAGAGTCGTGGAGCAAATTCGGCTCCTATAAATTCTCTTGGACGAAGTGTTATGGAAGATCAGAGTAGTGATCTGCCATCATCAACACGCTGTCATCAATCTCAAGGGAAGTGTCTTTCCGAAACCCGTTTATCTTTCATTTATAGCCATTAATGTCAGTAGATATTGGGTGAGCCAGTTAGATCACAAATAATCGACTCAAACAAGGTAATTAAGCCTTGGTCTTTATGGTTCCTTGTACAGTGTTTTCTCTGATATAGCTGTCATATATTAGGATTCTGGCTTCATAGCTAGCGCCCTTTTGACAGGTCAAGACGAGGAAGCATGCTTTGTGTACCAGTTACTGGGTGATGGAAGCTACCTCAAAGAGGATAATTTGGTGTCTACATCCTGGTTATATCTGGTGGACTAAGGCCTGCTGTACAAATAAGATAAGGAACCTCTTCAATGTATGTAGTCTAATACTGTAGTTTGATTGGCTGCATATATATAAATTCAATATAACCCCCCCCCTAATGTGTAGAGGATCGATTTGTGAGATTATTGCAGAAATACAGTCCACTTATCATCATACAAATTGCTATCGAAGTATACAAATTAACGTAAATATAAATTCATATAAATTAAATAAATATATATCTCACAGGTCGGTTCCCACAGGGGGAGTGCATGGCTGGGTGACGCTGGGGGAGGGTTAATCATGGCTGGGGGGGTACTGGGGCTTGCCACCTGTATGTGGCAGGTGACCACACACAGGTGGTCAAATTGAAAAAAAAAATTAATTTTTTTATTTTCAAAAATATAACATTTTATATACACATTTATATGTATATATATTTATAGCCTCATTATGTGTGAATATAAAGTTTTCTGTGATATATAAACGCAAATTTATTATAAACAATATCTATTGTTTATTGTTTATAGAAACAATATGTATTGTTTATAGTATTGCCGTACTCTCTGGGTTCGCCCGGCCAACCACTCGAAACAATATGAAGAGTGAGCCAGATGTCCCGCCACCGCCTCCTGCCTCCTCGCCCACCACCACACTCATTTGTCTGGCCACCACGATGGCTCAACAAATTTCAGAAGAAGATGCTACAAGGTATCTAAATGCTAATGTGGGAACATAAACAGAAGCTGTGTTGTGATATTCATGCTGCCTTGTATGACTGGGTTCCTTGCACACCATGTTGGCACTCATGTTGCTCTCTATGTTGGCACTCATGTTGCTCTCTATGTTGGCACTCGTGTTGCTCTCTATGTTGGCACTCGTGTTGCTCTCGATGTTGGCACTCATGTTGCTCTCCATGTTGGCACATGCATGTTGCTCTCGATGTTGGCACTCATGTTGCTCTCCATGTTGGCACATGCATGTTGCTCTCCATGTTGGCATCCATGTTGCTCTCCATGTTGGCATCCATGTTGCTCTCCATGTTGGCACTCATGTTGGCACTCATGTTCCTCTCTATGTTGGCACTCGTGTTGCTCTCTATGTTGGCATCCATGTTGCTCTCCATGTTGGCATCCATGTTGCTCTCCATGTTGGCATCCATGTTGTTCTCTATGTTGGCATCCATGTTGCTCTCCATGTTGGCATCCATGTTGCTCTCTATGTTGGCATCCATGTTGCTCTCCATGTTGGCATCCATGTTGCTCTCTATGTTGGCATCCATGTTGCTCTCCATGTTGGCACTCGTGTTGCTCTCCATGTTGGCATCCATGTTGCTCTCGATGTTGGCACTCATGTTGCTCTCCATGTTGGCACCCATGTTGCTCTCCATGTTGGCATCCATGTTGCTCTCCATGTTGGCACTCATGTTCCTCTCCAGGTTGGCATCCATGTTGCTCTCCATGTTGGCATCCATGTTGCTCTCGATGTTGGCACATGCATGTTGCTCTCCATGTTGGCATCCATGTTGCTCTCCATGTTAGCACATGCATGTTGGTCTTCATGTTGGCACACCAATGTTGGTCTTCATGTTGGCACACCCATGTTGGTCTCCATGTTGGCACACCCATGTTGGTCTCCATGTTGGCACACCCATGTTGGTCTCCATGTTGGCACACCCATGTTGGTCTCCGTGTTGGCACACTGTGATGATCAAGTTATATATGTGTTCCATAACTGAGCCATAACTTGTAATTACTTAGATTATGATACACATTGCTCCATGTATTCCAGGATGTCTTCAGTATTAAGTTCTTTAAGTGTTCGTAGTGCATGTTTAAATATAAATCATTGTATATTTCTGTATATGTATAAGTATATTGTGGCTGGGCTTGGCTTCCCCTTGTCACCTGGTGCCGCTGTTCACCCCTGGTGATGCACCTCAGCCGACCCACGGGGCAGGGTTCCTCCGTCTAACCACCTGCTGGGAGTGAGATAACTCGACCCCTCCCTAGACGCCTTGCACTCAGGTGCTCGTAGACACAAGACTCGAGGATCACTCAGGTCGAGTTGCCCGACATAAAGTTCCTCTACAAGGTCGACAACTCGGCTCGCCTCACTTCACTTCACGTCCGAGTGCTACTTCAAACTCTGTGGTGCTTGTATCTCCGCGTCCGTCACTCTAGTAACACAGTGTGGCGTGGTGCCCAGTATTACCTCACCACAACACATCCACAAGTGAAGGGGAGGAAGGAGGCACACGTAAAATCGATGGGTTTACTTGGAGATAATTTACTGTGTCCGTTGGACGCCAATCACCGCTCCTCAACTCGTGTCAGTAATCCCTATACTTATATTTATAACAATACTGTCAATGCCAGAGTTACTCCACAACAAGGTCCAATAAACACCCTATTTTGTTATAACACCTTTCCTGACAAGATTGAAAAATGGAAGGGCAAATTTATCTTCCTGATATAGCGTTACTGCAGCTCGTTGATTCTGCGCCGGGTAGCTCCTCGGAGCATGTAGCTGCAGCTTATATATTCGGCGTCAGATAGCTCCTCGTAGATAAGCGACAGGCCAACGATCCTCTCATTCCTCGTCGGGTTCACGCCTCACCAGGTGTTCCCCACTCGATAACAGGTGTGGACAGCTGTTGTCAGGTTTGCCCCGACCAACACACTCGATATATTAGTCCTCTGCCTCTCCGCAGTCTCGTCGCATGAACAAACGATGAATGATTTTCTGAAGACCAGAAATGTTACCGAATTCGGGTCCATACAGCTTCCAACGTACACACGCCGCAGTGCTCTATGTCCACTGCTCCTCCCAGTACCGCGTCAACAAGTTGTTCAAGACCCTGCCGTCAGCGCCCCTGGTGTCGTCCTCCACCAGTAAACTCTGCTGCACTACTCCCATGGGAGTCGACAGGTCTTCCTCCTCGTTTGTGCATGTCCGCTGTCCGAATTACATCTCTCTGGAGGCCTAAACGTCTCCCAAAAAGGTGAGCACACGAGCGCAAAAACACTCTGGTAGCCAGGGAGTTCAGTTTGTGTGCTTCCCTACAGGAGCTCCTGACGTCATGCAACGTCACGCCGGGGCGCAACGCCATTGGTCAACTTCGCCAAGCCCACGCCACCAACCAATCACGCCATGGCTGACGCAGCTCCCATAATGCACCGGGGTCCTCGGCCCCTGGGCGGGAATTCTTGCTTCCTCCCTTGGCTTACTCTTCATGTCTCCGCCATCTTAACATGGAGGAGACGCTTCATAGCCTCATCTCAAAAAAACAAAAATTGCAATTTCTCCCAAAATGTGACATTATGCTTCTCTTCATGTATTGTAAAATTAACTAATGCTTCTTGTAGATATTTACAAACAGGGAGTTGATGACTTATATTGGGAATACGGGCCGCAGTCTGTAACAATATATAGAGTGGTGATGGTAGGTGTAGTGTTGTTGTAGTGATGGAGGTTGTGTAGAGTGGTGAGTGTGATGGTAGGTGTAGTGTTGTTGTAGTGATGGAGGCTGTGTAGAGTGGTGAGTGTGATGGTAGGTGTAGTGTTGTTGTAGTGATGGAGGCTGTGTAGAGTGGTGAAGTGTAGTGTTGTTGTAGTGATGGAGGCTGTGTAGAGTGGTGAGTGTGATGGTAGGAGTAGTGTTGTTGTAGTGATGGAGGCTGTGTAGAGTGGTGAAGTGTAGTGTTGTTGTAGTGATGGAGGCTGTGTAGAGTGGTGAAGTGTAGTGTTGTTGTAGTGATGGAGGCTGTGTAGAGTGGTGAGTGTGATGGTAGGAGTAGTGTTGTTGTAGTGATGGAGGCTGTGTAGAGTGGTGAAGTGTAGTGTTGTTGTAGTGATGGAGGCTGTATAGAGTGGTGAGTGTGATGGTAGGAGTAGTGTTGTTGTAGTGATGGAGGCTGTGTAGAGTGGTGAGTGGTGATGGTAGGTGTAGTGTTGTTGTAGTGATGGAGGTTGTGTAGAGTGGTGAGTGTGATGGTAGGTGTAGTGTTGTTGTAGTGATGGAGGTTGTGTAGAGTGGTGAGTGTGATGGTAGGTGTAGTGTTGTTGTAGTGATGGAGGCTGTGGAGAGTGGTGAGTGTGATGGTAGGGGGCGTGTATGGGGTAGTGAGGGTAGTGGTAGTGTAATGGTTGTTGGTAGCGAGTTAGTTAGGTTGGTATTCATTGTTTAGCGCGTGTGATAGGGCTCACCAACATCTGTACACTACAACAGTTGCTTCATAGTTACTGGTTGTGTTGTCCGCGAGTGCCTCAAGTGCCACCCATCCTCCTGTTTAGATAGTACCTATTGTGACGATCGTCAATAGTCAGAATTCGTACTTTCTTAGCATTTAGATAGTAGTATACTGACTAGTAAGGAATTCTTTTGAAATAAATGAAGTTAAAACACAAATTTAAATATTCTTAGGCCGAGTATAACAAACATATGTTCTATTTTAGGCCTCATATATAGTGTATTAGGCCTAGGGAGGTTAGGATAAGTTAATCAGACCACACACTAGAAGGTGAAGGGACGACGACGTTTCGGTCCGTCCTGGACCATTTTCAAGTCGATTTGAGAATTGAAAGAACAATCGACTTGAGAATGGTCCAGGACAGACCGAAACGTGGTCGTCCCTTCACCTTCTAGTGTGTGGTGTGTGGTCTGGTCAACATACTTTAGCCACGTTATTGTGACTCATCGCCTGCATCATTCTGAAATGTGATGCAAGGAAATAAAACATGAGTGAAAGACGTAGTACTGTGGAGAGAAGCTTTAGGTGGGTTTAATTAGTTGGTTCCCTGAGGTATGTTCACTTCTCGAGAAGTTCGCCAATATTCAAATGTGACACCCAAGTGTGCCAAGCTTTTCCAAGTATTCCAAGAGTGAGAGAAAAATGTGTTGAATATATTATGTTCCGCATTTTATGTGTTATGGACGTAATGTTTACCATGGACCTAAAATATACCGTACGTAATGTTGCTGTAAACTATCTTGTCATCGATATATCAAGCACTTTCACAGTTACACAAAAGGCACAACACACTTCCACACAACAATTTCAATAGTTTGTGCAGCCCCAACCTCCTGTTTTGGTAGTACTTATAGTAACGATGAGGACCGTAGTATATATGACCACCTACAACTCAATAACAACGTAGAAATCTGAACTATTGAGTTGAACAAACCGGAAAACAATTTTACTTGTGTTGGTCTGACTAACTAAACTAATTTATCCTATGCAGGCGATGAGTCACAATAACGTGGCTAAAGTATGTTGACCAGACCACACAGTAGAAGGTGAAGGGACGACGACGTTTCGGTCCGCCCTGGGCCATTCTCAAGTCGATTGTTCTTTCAATTCTCAAATCGATTCTCAAATCGACTTGAGAATGGTCCAGGACGGACCGAAACGTCGTCGTCCCTTCACCTTCTAGTGTCTAGTCTGGTCAACATTTCAGAATAATGTTCGCACGTCATGTTTTTCAGCAATTTGTATCCTAAATTTAATGTAGTTAAATTTATGTGTTCTAAATTTAATGTGATTTCATTGATGTGTTCTAACAATATTAAATTGATAGGTTTCTCTACAACACAATGGGTTAAGTGCTTCAGACGTGTATAATGTGTGTTGGGTAGATGTATGCAGATGTGTAGATCCGCAAGAGACCTGGGTAAATACTGGTTCGGAATCAGGCTTACTGATTTATGGATCAAATTACCTGGTAACATAACAGACGTGGGATCACTCAATTGTTTCAAGCGTAGATTAAACACACACACACACAAACACACACACACACACACACATAAGTACATAATACACACACAGTTTGTACATAAACTGAACAAAAAGGCGTGGAGGTACTTCCGGAATAACAGAACACCAGAAAGCAGGGAGAGATACCAGAGAACCAGGAATGAGTACGTCAGGGTGAGAAGAGAAGCAGAGAAAAATTTTGAAAATGATATAGCAAACAAAGCCAAGACCGAACCAAAGCTACTCCACAGTCACATCAGAAGGAAAACAACAGTGAAAGAACAGGTATTGAAACTTAGAACAGGCGAGGACAGGTATACAGAGAATGACAGAGAGGTGTGTGAGGAACTCAACAAGAGGTTCCAGGAGGTCTTCACAATAGAACAGGGTGAGGTCACTGTGCTAGGAGAAAGGGAGGTAAACCAGGCGGCCTTGGAGGAGTTCGAAATTACGAGAGAGGAGGTCAAGAGACACCTGCTGGATCTGGATGTTAGAAAGGCGGTTGGTCCAGATGGGATCTCACCATGGGTACTGAAAGAGTGTGCAGAGGCACTTTGCTTGCCACTCTCCATAGTGTATGGTAAATCACTAGAGACAGGAGACCTACCAGAAATATGGAAGACGGCGAATGTGGTCCCAATATACAAAAAGGGCGACAGACAAGAGGCACTGAACTACAGGCCAGTGTCCTTAACTTGTATACCATGCAAGGTGATGGAGAAGATCGTGAGAAAAAACCTGGTAACACATCTGGAGAGAAGGGACTTCGTGACAAATCGCCAACATGGATTCAGGGAGGGTAAATCTTGCCTTACAGGCTTGATAGAATTCTACGATCAGGTGACACAGATTAAGCAAGAAAGAGAGGGCTGGGCGGACTGCATTTTCTTGGATTGTCGGAAAGCCTTTGACACAGTACCGCATAAGAGGCTGGTACATAAGCTGGAGAGACAGGCAGGTGTAGCTGGTAAGGTGCTCCAGTGGATAAGGGAGTATCTAAGCAATAGGAAGCAGAGAGTTACGGTGAGGGGTGAGACCTCCGATTGGCGTGAAGTCACCAGTGGAGTCCCACTGGTGACTCTGTACTCGGCCGGCTCTGTACTCGGTCCTATCTTGTTTCTGATATATGTAAATGATCTCCCGGAGGGTATCGATTCATTTCTCTCAATGTTTGCGGACGATGCTAAAATTATGAGAAGGATTAAAACAGAAGAGGACTGTTTGAGGCTTCAAGAAGACCTAGACAAGCTGAAGGAATGGTCGAACAAATGGTTGTTAGAGTTTAACCCAACCAAATGTAATGTAATGAAGATAGGTGTAGGGAGCAGGAGGCCAGATGCAAGGTATCATCTGGGAGAGGAAATTCTTCAGGAGTCAGAGAAGGAAAAAGACTTGGGGGTTGATATCACGCCAGACCTGTCTCCTGCAGCACATATCAAGCGGATAACATCAGCGGCATATGCCAGGCTGGCCAACATACGAACGGCATTCAGAAACTTGTGTAAAGAATCATTCAGAACATTGTATACCACATATGTCAGGCCAATCCTGGAGTATGCAGCCCCAGCATGGAGTCCATATCTAGTCAAGGATAAGACTAAACTGGAAAAGGTTCAAAGGTTTGCCACCAGACTAGTACCCGAGCTGAGAGGTATGAGCTACGAGGAGAGACTACGGGAATTAAACCTCACTTCGCTGGAAGACAGAAGAGTTAGGGGGGACATGATCACCACATTCAAGATTCTGAAGGGGATTGATAGGGTAGATAAAGACAGTCTATTTAACACAAGGGGAACACGCACAAGGGGACACAGGTGGAAACTGAGTGCCCAAATGAGCCACAGAGATATTAGAAAGAACTTTTTTAGTGTCAGAGTGGTTGACAAATGGAATGCATTAGGGGGTGATGTGGTGGAGGCTCACTCCATACACAGTTTCAAGTGTAGATATGACAGAGCCCGATAGGCTCAGGAATCTGTACACCTGTTGATTGACGGTTGAGAGGCGGGACCAAAGAGCCAGAGCTCAACCCCCGCAAACACAACTAGGTGAGTACAACTAGGTGAGTACACACACGCGCACTTTACTTGCCACTCTCCAAAGAATAAGGTGATTTGATAAAATGCTATGCCCAAGATTACCATCCGAGTGCCGGCGGGGAAGTGGTTCAAATAGCTTCGGCTATCACTTCGTTATGTCCGGTCATGATGGTCAAGCGGATTAAGGCGTCCTGTAGTTACCAGTTGCGTTGCTCCAGGGAGTATGGGTTCGAGCCACTTCTTCACACTTCGAGTCACAAAATAGAGGCTCATGGTATTGGGGGTGGTATATTAAGTTGGATTAGGGCATGGCTATTCCAAAGGAAACAGAGAGCTAGTATAAATGGGGTTAAGTCAGAGTGGGATAATGTTGTTAGTGGAGTACCTCAGGGCTCTGTCCTGGGGCCTCTGTTGTTTATAATATATATAAATGATTTAGATTCAGGTTTGAGTAGCAACATCTGCAAATTTGCAGATGATACAAAAATCTGTAGGGAAATTAACACGGAAGAAGACTCACTATCACTTCAAGTTGATCTAAATAGGGTTTCGAAATGGTCAAAAGTTTGGCAGATGCAGTCTAATGCTGATAAATGTAAAGTTCTTAGGCTAGGTTGTTACGGACCCGAGTGCAGCGTCGGAGTACGGAGCAGTGACGACAACGCCATCTGTGAGTCCGCTCCCAAAACCCACTCCAAATGGACAACGCCATCTAGTGAAGACGGGATATACCGGCCACAGGTGCTGGATTCCCGTCTTAATCAGCTCATAACATAGTCGCTGCTGACCTCTGGTGAGGTGGCGCTTAGACAGCAACGCCATCTATGGAATGAAGAGGTGGACGTTTGTGTCTAAGCCTGTAAGTGAGGTTCCCTAGAGCGTCCCAGTATTAATGACGTGTCTGATTGCAGAGTCGACCTGGGACTGCAGTGTTGGACGATGGATCAGTCTACCCAAGGCAGCCAAGGTCTCTTCACCAGTCTGCTTTGAAGAAGCTGTGAGTCACCCCCGGACGAACTCTGTTGAGAGTATTAGCCTGCCTGTGGCGTGGCAGTGTTAGGAATCGCCTTATCCGGGGCTGGCTGGTGGAAGAGACTAGCCACTGTGGTGCTTAGTGAGGAGAGTGATCAGCGTGATCACACGAGGCTCCTGCCTAGGGCTCGCAACCCTAGTATCGGTCGTGGAGTGGCCTACACAGCGGAGGTGATCGGAACCTGCCAGCTACAGGCTGGATTGTGGTTGAAGGCCTCCACGACGAAGCACCCAGTGGGACTGTGATTTGGCTGGCCCGTGGCCAGGGTAGATTCGTCATAGAATCATAGTGGATTCATCGTGGGCCACGGAAGAAGGAACCAGGGCTACCCAGAATGAGCACCGTCGAGCATCCAGTGTCTTCGGAGGAAGACAAACCTGTACATAATTGTGTAGTTATAATCCCTGCGTGTGACTGGTATTTATTTATGGTGGTGGAGAAATATATATATATATAAATTGGAACATTTGTATCCCTCCCGCTTCAATTTAACTTGCGTTACGGAACACACCCCTTGAAAGCCTCTACTAACTTGGGGCCGGATACCCCAAACTCTACTACCATCAGAGAAGAACCCGGTTGCGTCCCAGTAGGGCCGTAACATAGGTAATGATGATAGAGTTACAAGATACGAGCTTGATGGTGTTGAGATTGCGAAGTCGGATTGCGAAAGGGATCTGGGAGCTATGATTAGTAAGAATTTAAAACAAAAGGATCAATGCCTGAATGTTCGTAATAAGGCAAAGAGGACACTTGGATTTATTAATCGAAGCGTTAGTAACAAAACACCTGGTGTTGTTCTTCAGCTATATCTTGCTCTAGTTAGGCCCCATTTAGATTATGCAGTTCAGTTTTGGTCGCCGTATTATAGAATGGATATAAATTCACTTGAATGTGTCCAACGTATGATGACTAAGTTAATTCCCAAAATTAGAAATCTTTCATATGAAGAAAGATTTACAAAGCTTAACTTGCATTCACAGGAAAGGCGAAGAGTTAGGGGTGACATGATATAGGTTTACAAGTGGATGAATGGGCATAACAAAGGGGATATTAATAGGGTATTAAAAGTATCAACACGAGACAGAACACGAAACAATGGGTATAAATTGGATAAGTTTAGATTTAGGAAAGACGTGGGTAAATACTGGTTCGGTAACAGGGTTGTTGATTTGTGGAACCAATTACCGCGTAACGTGATGGATGTGGGGTCCCTCGATTGTTTCAAGTGTGGGTTGGACATGTTTATGAGTGGGATTGGGTGGTTATAGATAGGAGCTGCCTCGTATGGGCCAATAGGCCTTCTGCAGTTACGTTGTTCTTATGTTCTTTATAGGGGATGCCTCGTAGAGGACAATAGGGGCTGCCTCGTATGAACCAATAGGAGCTGCCTGGAATGGGTCAATGGGAGCTGCCTCGTACGGGTCAATAGGAGCTGCCTCGTATGGACCAATAGGAGCTGCCTCGTATGGACCAATAGGAGCTGCCTCGTAATAAAACTGAGAGTATTTGAAAATTTTTGTTATTGGGAGTTGTACCGTTGGGGAATGTACCGTAGGTTGGGCCTGTGTATCACTGTGTACCGTTGATCTTTGTACCGTTGGACTGTATATCTTTTAGCGTTGTAGCGTTGACGACGGAATATAATCCGTTGGTGTATGTGTACTGTTTGACCCCGGGATGAGTAGGTACCCTGAGGCTGTGTTCACGGCTCCCTCCTCCCTCCAGGCTCTTATATACTTTATGAAAATTAAACAAAGAAATGTAAAAGAATGAATGAATATATTAACGCTCTGATTCGTAATAATATATTTGATTATTCCCACACGAATCATGATTATCAGTCTCTCTTCGCTTCCCCCCTCTCCTCACTCCTCCTCCCCCACTACCCCCTCCCCTCTCCTAATCCTCCACTACCCCCTCCCCTCTCCTAATCCTCCACTACCCCCTCCCCTCATTCCTCTCCCCCCCCCCAATACCCCCTCCCCTCATCCCCACTCCTCCTCCTTCAGTAAACGTGATGCCACTATGTTGTTGTTTAAGATTGGCTACCTGGAATAAAAAGATCCATGTAGCACGGGCTATGGTGAGCCCGTAGTGGGATGCCACTACTGGATATGTTTACGGAGTTGGACTGGATGTTGTTGGCTAAATAAGGAACTCAGTATTTCTTTTCCAATATTTTGACTAGTATTTACCGCTAGTGTTAATGGCACTAGTATTACTGCTAGTGTTAATGGCACTAGTATTACCGCTAGAGTTAATGGCACTAGTATTGCTGCTAGTGTTAATGGCACCAGTATTACTGCTAGTGTTAATGGCACTAGTATTACTGCTAGTGTTAATGGCACTAGTATTGCTGCTAGAGTTAATGGCACTAGTATTACCGCTAGAGTTAATGGCACTAGTATTACTGCTAGAGTTAATGGCACTAGTATTACCGCTAGAGTTAATGGCACTAGTATTACTGCTAGTGTTAATGGCACTAGTATTGCTGCTAGAGTTAATGGCACTAGTATTGCTGCTAGTGTTAATGGCACCAGTATTGCTGCTAGAGTTAATGGCACTAGTATTACCGCTAGAGTTAATGGCACTAGTATTACTGCTAGTGTTAATGGCACTAGTATTGCTGCTAGAGTTAATGGCACTAGTATTACTGCTAGAGTTAATGGCACTTGTATTACCGCTAGAGTTAATGGCACTAGTATTACTGCTAGAGTTAATGGCACTAGTATTGCTGCTAGAGTTAATGGCACTAGTATTACTGCTAGTGTTAATGGCACTAGTATTGCTGCTAGAGTTAATGGCACTAGTATTACCGCTAGAGTTAATGGCACTAGTATTACTGCTAGTGTTAATGGCACTAGTATTGCTGCTAGAGTTAATGGCACTAGTATTGCTGCTAGTGTTAATGGCACCAGTATTACTGCTAGTGTTAATGGCACCAGTATTACTGCTAGTGTTAATGGCACCAGTATTACTGCTAGTGTTAATGGCACTAGTATTACTGCTAGTGTTAATGGCACTAGTATTACTGCTAGTGTTAATGGCACTAGTATTACTGCTAGTGTTAATGGCACTAGTATTACTGCTAGTGTTAATGGCACTAGTATTACTGCTAGTGTTAATGGCACTAGTATTACTGCTAGTGTTAATGGCACTAGTATTACTGCTAGTGTTAATGGCACTAGTATTGCTGCTAGAGTTAATGGCACTAGTATTGCTGCTAGTGTTAATGGCACTAGTATTGCTGCTAGAGTTAATGGCACCAGTATTACCGCTAGAGTTAATGGCACTAGTATTACTGCTAGTGTTAATGGCACTAGTATTACTGCTAGTGTTAATGGCACCAGTATTACCGCTAGTGTTAATGGCACCAGTATTACCGCTAGTGTTAATGGCACCAGTATTACTGCTAGTGTTAATGGCACCAGTATTACCGCTAGTGTTAATGGCACCAGTATTACTGCTAGTGTTAATGGCACCAGTATTACCGCTAGTGTTAATGACACCAGTATTACCGCTAGTGTTAATGGCACCAGTATTACTGCTAGTGTTAATGGCACCAGTATTACCGCTAGTGTTAATGGCACTAGTATTACCGCTAGTGTTAATGGCACCAGTATTACCGCTAGTGTTAATGGCACCAGTATTACCGCTAGTGTTAATGGCACCAGTATTACCGCTAGTGTTAATGGCACCAGTATTACTGCTAGTGTTAATAGCACTAGTATTACTGGTAATATTACTACTTGAACTAGTAAGTGCAACATAGCCTTACAAGAGACGCATCATCTGTAACACAATCAACATTTGCATTGAAAAATCGTGTTTCAATACACATTGCAAGGTTGCCGGAGCCAGCCTACCCAACTCAACTGCTAATTCAGTGCGACCATTCCTGTGTTTATATAAAATTGCACAGCAACACCGGCTGCAACTTTGTCACTAAATTTGCACAACTAACCCGAAGTTGTTCCCAAACTTACTAATAGTGAACACAACGAGGCGAACATTGTACTGGGAGCAATTGTTGGCAAAACTACATAAGGTAAAGCTTAAAGAATTTGTGAAACATAATTTAAGCTAACCACAGGCAGGATCTGTGATTGGTCCCTCGTAACGACCAGTTGCAGAGCCAGTGAAGGGTCGGTGATTGGCAGCCCGTCCTTGTCAGGACTGGGAGTGCGAGAGCATTAAGGGCGAGTGTAGGCTGAGAACGGGTCGTAGGAGGGACTAAACACTACTGCCTGGAGGAACGTGGTCAGGCAGGAGGTGGAACATAGGTAGACACGATCAAATCTACGTTTTGTCTGTCCAGATATAAATAGATGTTTAAGATCTTGGCCTGAGAGGATTAAATCCTCTCTCAACACCTCAGTGATCAAGCTTGCACATTCTAATCCTTAAGAGTAGTAGGAGGCATCATTCAGTTTCAGGAGACTATGGAGTTGCGCTCTGGTTGTAGGTCTGGAGTGGCCTCTCCAGGGCGCAAACCCAGGGTAGGTTGATACGGGGGAGAAGCTGTCACCCATGCAGCAGGCTCCCCTCTCCACGGCGCCGGAAGTCTCCAATGGAAAGGCAAACGCCAATACGATTGGTTCCAGCGCCGTCACAGGAACTGTCAGAACGAGGTTGAAGGCAACAACTAACTGCCCCCCAGCGGGCTCCAGCTCCGGAGTTGACCTCGAAGTTGGTGAAAGAAGGCACAGGGACTCCAGACCCGGAGACCGCCGTGATCGGGGCCGGAGAAGGACCTCCCCAGCAAGGGCAAGAGCCACCCCAGCCTCCTGAAGCAGAGCCTGGGGGGCCGCACGAGCCCCAGGAGGTGGACGGCCCGGCCCCGCACCTACGGGTTCCTGACAGAGATCGTCACAGCCCTCTGTCACCCGAGGCCCGCTTCCTTCACGACCCAGCAGAAGCATGAGTAATAATTATTAATTACAACAATTATTATTATAATTATTATTATTTTAAAAATATAATAAATAATCCTTAAAAGGATTAAGGAATCCTCAAGGATTCTTCCTTAAGGAATCATCAAAACAATACTTCTACAAAATATGTGACAAGTGCGGCTTTAAATCCACTGTTAATATTGTGGAAAAGAAAATACCATTGAAGATTGTTATAATAATAATGTAATTTTCTTTCTTGTTTGTATTACGCCTTTTCATTTCCTTCTTCTTTTCCACATGTTCTTTCATTTCTTTCATTTCTTTCATTTCTTTCCTCATGCTCCCTGGGCAGTCACCTCCTCATGCTCCCTGGACAGTCACCCCCTCATGCTCCCTGGGCAGTCGCCCCCTCATGCTCCCTGGACAGTCGCTCCCTCATGCTCCCTGGACAGTCGCCCCCTCATGCTCCCTGGACAGTCACCCCCTCATGCTCCCTGGGCAGTCGCCCCCTCATGCTCCCTGGGCAGTCACCCCTCATGCTCCCTGGGCAGTCACCCCCCTCATGCTCCCTGGGCAGTCGCCCCCTCATGCTCCCTGGGTAGTCACCCCTCATGCTCCCTGGACAGTCGCCCCCTCATGTTCCCTTAACAGTCGCCCCCTCATGCTCCCTGGGCAATCGCCCCCTCATGCTCCCTGGACAGTCGCCCCCTCATGCTCCCTGGGCAGTCGCCCCCTCATGCTCCCTGGACAGTCACCCCCTCATGCTCCCTGGGCAGTCGCCCCCTCATGCTCCCTGGACAGTCACCTCCTCATGCTCCCTGGGCAGTCACCCCCTCATGCTCCCTGGACAGTCGCCCCTCATGCTCCCTGGACAGTCACCTCCTCATGCTCCCTGGACAGTCGCCCCCTCATGCTCCCTGGGCAGTCACCTCCTCATGCTCCCTGGGCAGTCGCCCCTCATGCTCCCTGGGCAGTCGCCCCCTCATGCTCCCTGGGTAGTCACCCCTCATGCTCCCTGGGTAGTCACCCCTCATGCTCCCTGGACAGTCGCCCTCTCATGCTCCCTGGGTAGTCACCCCTCATGCTCCCTGGACAGTCGCCCCCTCATGTTCCCTTAACAGTCGCCCCCTCATGCTCCCTGGGCAATCGCCCCCTCATGCTCCCTGGACAGTCGCCCCCTCATGCTCCCTGGTCAGTCGCCCCCTCATGCTCCCTGGACAGTCGCCCCCTCATGCTCCCTGGACAGTCGCCCCCTCATGCTCCCTGGGCAGTCGCCCCCTCATGCTCCCTGGACAGTCGCCCCCTCATGCTCCCTGGACAGTCGCCCCCTCATGTTCCCTTAACAGTCGCCCCCTCATGCTCCCTGGACAGTCGCCCCCTCATGCTCCCTGGACAGTCGCCCCCTCATGCTCCCTGGACAGTCGCCCCCTCATGCTCCCTGGACAGTCGCCCCCTCATGCTCCCTGGACAGTCGCCCCCTCATGCTCCCTGGACAGTCGCCCCCTCATGCTACACAGTCGGGGAAGTGAGCAGCTCAAACCAACACCCGCTTATCTACAGGTGTTTAATATTGCACACACATGTTCATGTGGCCTTGTCAATTATTTACTAACATATTCATGCATTTGCGCGAGGTTAAATCATCTCTTTCCACCTATATTCTCTCTTCTGCTTAAGCCTCCTTCTGTGGACCCTTTCCTGCCTTATCTCCCCCTCTCTCTCTCTCTCTTACCTCTCTTCTTCACTTCTCTCTTTTTCCTTGTCATCAAAGACAATTTTTTTGATTGAAAGATTTTCCTTTCTTGTTCTCTTTTAAACATAGACCAGGGTTGATTAAGCATGTTAGTCACTGTTGTTGCTAGAGAAACTGCAAGCAAGAGCTGTTATCCTAATTCTGCTTATCTGATTCTTACACATTAAGATATTTGTTTAATGAGATTATTATTTGTATCCACTTCGTCACAACCTTCATATGGTCACAACCTTCATATCATCACAACCTTCATATGGTCACAACCTTCATATCGTCACAACCTTCATATCGTCAGAACCTTCATATCGTCACAACCTTCATGTCATCAGAGCCTAGTACCCATGAACTAGACATCAATGGTATACTCCTTTCCTCGCAGTCTTCATGAGAACCAAACACAGCACCGCAGAAGTGTACACAGTAAACCCACCATTAATGGTCACTCCCAATGGCCGGACAGATATAAGACCATTGTAATAAAGGTACTTAGCCTTGTCGACCAAGCTGACGAGGCGTTTGACATGCCATCTTCAATCCGGTGCCCCCAGGAATCACATGAGACAAGCCCATGACATCACCCTAACAAGAGAAATGTTGAACAAAAATACCTGCATAATAGACAAAACCCAAGATGCAAGAAAATTACAAATTCTTGAAGCAATTCACATAAGAATAGAACAACCTACCATGAACACCCAAATCACGGAACTATTTACTCTACCCACCATGAGAGTAAGGACAAGACCAGAACATAACGATTCCAACACAGAAGACAATGTCCAACATAACAGGCCAATTACACCGGATTAATCTATGTATGTAGATAGGAGCTGCCTCGTATGGGCCAATAGGCCTTCTGCAGTTACCTCTATTCTTATGTTCTTAAGGTATTTATATACAGAGCCTTCACTCACTGCTCCCACTACCAAAACCTCCACAGGGAACTGGGCAGAAGAAGTCTTCAAGTATTACTACACAACGGGGACACGAACAGAGAAGTCAACACCCACATCAGAAGATATTTAGAAAAATGGTATAATAGAGAAGAACAACCACAGAAGCAAACAACCCCAAGGAGTGCCGGACCAACCGGGCTGTGGTGGGTATGTGGGCCTGCGGGCCGCTCCAAGCAACAGCCTGGTGGACCAAACTCTCACAAGTCGAGCCTGGCCTCGGGCCGGGCTTGGGGAGTAGAAGAACTCCCAGAACCCCATCAAACCAGGTATATGTGGGCCTGAGGGCCGCTCCAAGCAACAGCCTGGTGGACCAAACTCTCACAAGTCGAACCTGGCCTCGGGCCGGGCTTGGGGGAGTAGAAGAACTCCCAGAACCCCATCAACCAGGTATCAAGCAGGTAACCCTCCCATAAAACTCTATTACAAATTCACTATGAGCTCACAATACAAAACTGAAGAACGAATAGTTAACAATATATTATCAAATGGAGTGAAACCAACAGCACCAGACCAAAGATTGGAATTCACTATTTACTACAAACAAAAAGGAGTTGATTAAATACTTCAGAACAGCCTAAATAAACAATACAACCCACTCTAAAAAGCAAGCGTTGTACATCAGTTTACAGTAGTAGTTTTACATCAGTTTACATCAGTAGCCTGGTGGAGGGGCCTCGTAGCCTGGTGGATAGCGCGCAGGACTCGTAATTCTGTGGCGCGGGTTCGATTCCCGCATGAGGCAGAAACAAATGGGCAAAGTTTCTTTCACCCTGAATGCCCCTGTTACCTAGCAGTAAATAGGTACCTGGGAGTTAGTCAGCAGCCACGGGCTGCTTTCTGGGGGTGGAGGCCTGGTCGAGGACCGGGCCGCGGGGACACTAAAGCCCCGAAATCATCTCAAGAGATATCCTACATGCCAGTCGAGGCCAAGGAACCGGCATGTAAGGGAGCCGGGACCGGTTCGGCTCCACATGAGGGAGCCGGTCGCCCGAGCGGACCAACCCGTTCTCGCAAATTTAATAAGTCAATATTGACTTATTAAATATGTGCATAGGTGACATACTTAACATAATAGTTTCCCTTGAAAAGCTTCATAGAAAACACCGATCTTACCTAACCTACTTAGTATGTTAAGATAAGCATCTTATT